TAAATCCTTCACAAGTGAACTGTGCAGCATTGTCAGACACAACGGTACCCAGAAAACCATGAGATGCAAACAGCTGCCATAAAACTCGGATTACAGTGCATGGAGTCATTGATGCAACACAAACAACTTCCAACCACCCGGAGAAAGAATCAGTGATAGTAAAGACTATCTGGCCTTGGAAAGGGCCTGCAAAATTTAAGTGCAGAAGAAACCCCACAGATGGACTGGAGCCTTAGCTGGTACATGGCGTGTAGTTTGGCATGCTCCACACCTCTTTACTGTTTGCCCACTGTCAGCATCTAACATTGACTGCCAGATGCAACTTCTGGCACGCAGTTTAATATGAACAATCCCTGGATGCCCCGTATGGAGAGCATCAGGAAATCATGTTACACCTGCATTGGGAATGACCACTTGGTTACCCCATAGGAGGCATCTCTGAAGGAAGGGCAGAAAATTCATGTTGGCATATAATGAATGGCTTAAACTCATCTGCAGCCTTTGCTGAAGTCCACCTCCTTCATACCCAGTTTAGCATTTGGGCTAACACTGGATCCTTAGCAATCATATCAGCAATGTCATCTGTCTGGAGAGGAGACAAGGACCTAGTGCAGCCTATAAGGATTCTAGCATCAGAACTTCAGAGCGGAGCGGAAGAGGGAATTCAGGACAGGATAATGGGAAACAATTCAATGCATTTGCATTTTCTATTGCCTTCCAAGGCAGTGTTGAAATTTGCTGTCTTGTTCATTTAACAGTAAAGACCAATGAAGCATACGTGGTGAAATGATTTGGGATGTTGGTCCACTCTTGGTGAATAATCCTAGCAATGGTTTATGACCAGTCATAATTGCCAATTTGTGGCCATATATGTAGTCATGGAATTTCCTAGTTCCAGCGGTGACTGCAAGCATGAATGACGTGCGCCCGCAGAGGCTGGGGGTTTTGGTCTCCATCCCCCGGTGAACCTAGTTTAAAGTCCTCCTCTCTAGGTTGGCCCTGCAGGGCTCAGGACTAGACTGCCCGACCAGCTCAGGTCCTGGGCTTATATAGCTTAAGCCCCACCCCCTTCTGGTCAGGTGACTCTCTAATCACCTCCCCTCCCTTACCCCATGCAGGCTGCTTCTCAGACAGCCTCTCCTTTTCAAGTGACAGGTGCCCTAAGCACCATGTCACAGTCCCCATCCTGGCGAGGCCACAATGCCGCTGGGAAGAAGTGTGGGGACAGGCCAGGTGCCTTGGGGCACAAACCGGGTAAGCGACTGCGAGGGGCTGGCAGAGCCAGGCCCTTTACCTGAGACAGGGTGGGGATGACATGCTGGCCAGTAAAAGAGCAAGCTAATTAATGCAGTCCATGCATCGGCAGCACACGGTCATCTTTATGTCACAGCATACTGTCAGGACACAAATACAAGCACCACTGGGTGGAAACCTCCCGGCTAGCACGTTCAACTGCAGCACTGCGGGATACCTCCTGCTTCAGGCACGAGGCCCGTTATGCAGATGAGCGAATAGCAAGGGCTACGTTCATGCTGGCAGAGAAACTATAAAGCTCACCCAAAAGTCTGGGCTATCCAATAAGTGATTTAGCTTGAAAGGCTACTTCAAGTCGTGACATGGAGATCCTACATTAATAATCCTTATCATTCATCTAGGTCAAAGTAAGGTTCAGGCTTATTAATTCTTCCTGCACTCTAGGCAATATCATCAACACCAGTATACAAGTAGGAAATCTTGGGTTCAGAGAGTGAGAAAGTCACCTACCCAGTGTCAGAAACCAGAAGGGCTGGAGTTGAAGTGCAAGACTCGTGCTTACTCCTCCAATCTGCTGTTTCATGAATTACAGTGTCAAGAGGATATTCACTTTCTCCACTCCCCCCATGTGGAGGCCTGTGCTTGGGTCTTTTGCCTTCACCATTCAGTACTGTAAGCATCGCCACTCTGGTTGTATCTAGGACAGGCAGGCCTGTGTTGGGATACCCTGTTTCAGATCCTTCACAGCATGGTATGAACCCTCTGCAGGCGATTTATTTTCCTCCGCACAGTAGGAGTTTTTTTCCCCAATAACAGGGATCCAGATTTTTGATGCAACTATAACAGCACATGCATGCCGATTTATTATGCACTGAATCTTTCCCTGACAGACACAGGGTACAGGAGACCCTAGCAGGGAATAACTCTGAGCTGTGGGTGAGCCCAGTGTTTGTTGGTTGAAAAAAAGGGATCTAAATCTAGCTCCATCCCCAAAAGCCAGCTTACTTTGTGGAGTTCTCAAGGCAGATCGTACTGTTGAATTAAGCTGATTTATATTTACTCCAAAATTCCTGGTAGCTGAGAGTCACTACCTGATTTCTGGGCCAGTGGGAGATCCAGGCTTCTAAGATTTGGAGGGAAAAAAAAAAAAATCAATCAGAAAAAAACCCCACAAAAAACACACAAGAGCCTTTCCCTATTTTTCCAGAGACAGCTGAGATGGAAAGCAGAAATGGCTCACTGGTCAGGACACCAGCTTGCATCAGAGCTGATCCTCATTCTCTGCTGTGCTGTGAACTGCTTATCACTTAAGCCCAGATCTTCAAAACATATTTAGACACTTAGGCTTGAGTGAGAGCAGTAGGAACTATGAAATGGAACTTCCCTACCTCCGAGGGATGTTGAAGATAAATGTATGGAAGGGTGCAAGGTGCTCAGACAGTATAGATGGACAAGAAAAGTGCTTAGAAATCCAATCAGCTTTTCACACCTGAGGCCATTTGTTTACACACACTGTCTAGCTTTCTCCCATAGCAATGCCAGAGTGTTTAAGCTAAAGACAAATGAATTACAAGGAATCTTTCAGCCAGAGAAACAGAAGACGACTCAACGTGTTTCCATTCCTAGGATGCAAAAAAACCCCAAAACACACATTCTTGCAAAAAGCTAAATTTTGGGCCAATCTAGAGTCAGGGACCCTTTAAAATAAGACTCATAAAAGGCCAAATTGATGATAATAAACCTCTCAGCACTGATCCTTTACAGTAGAACAATGACTGGCAGCAAGAAGATCCTTTTTTAAAGACTTTATGATTGCAAGATGGATTATACAAGAATGCTGGAGTTTAGGTGAAGGACACTGCATTTAATTATATGCAAAACTATCAGAGCAGAAGGGGAGAATATGCCCTAATTCTTCCCCTTTTTACATGTGAATGAGAATGACACTCTCTCAGGCTGACAGATTAAGTTGAATTCAAGTGAGTGTTAGCTTTTTATGTAGAACTCCACTGTGGTAGACTAGGGTTAATGGGCTATGACCATAATTCTTAGAGTGAATACAATAGTACCACATATCTGAAGGCTCCAAGATTAGAGATAGGATCCCAATTACCTGGAAGCTTGTTTTACAACATACATTTTAATAAGCAGAGGCTGAACATACATCCAGCTTTACTTTGCCAGAAGCCCTACACTACTACTAAATGCTTAACATGCAGCTTTAATGGCTCCTAAGAGAAGCTTCACATTTAGAAGAGAAATGGGCCCCAGCTATCCAGCCTTAAACCAACTGGTGATTGAGACAAAAAGCAGGATGACTTCATCTTTCCACCCCTCAAAAAAGATTGGCTCTGAATTCAGCTACCAGTCCCCTCCAGCTATTCCT